CGGAGAAGGGTCCGGCGCCGGCAGGCTCCGCCGCGCGCGCCCACATCTCGCGCTCATGCGTTTTCCAGTACAGGGACGAGATCTCTGCGGCGCACTTGATCTTGAGACCACCGCCGTGTCGGAGGTGGCCGTGCCGCAGCCGAAATTTGAGGCTGATCTTTGACGTCTCGAGACCGTCCATGTGGCGATGGATGGGGTAGTCTTCCACCAGACTGGGGTCAGCCTGTCGGTCACAGTCACATGCAACGAGTTAGGGCATACATGCGTTAATTCTTCGTAATTTTTGTGTAAGTTAGAAGCCTCCGGTCCGGTAGCCTTCAGCAGAATAAATGGGCGCTGATGTTGATAACGTTACATGATTGGTTTGGTTTAATGCTGGAAAGGAATCACCCGATGCTTTTACATCTGACATTTTCACACACGTGTGCAAGGTCTCCACAAACAACCTGCATTCTACTTAATCTCATGGCGCTCTTTCTTGACACAAGCACCCATTTACACTGCACCTATCGATACGGGTCAGCCAGCTAAGTTCTGTACAACCTTAATTTACCTACAACCAAATCTAAATAGGGGGAAACGTCTGTTTTTTCACCATGTTGGGTGGATGACTACCCTTTTGGCCACTCTCCAGGTGCACTGCTCGAGGCAGTTCCCCTTTCCCAGGAGGTAGACGGGCGCTAAAACTATCAATCACTGGCGATTCCCCTACCAAACTACCGAACTACCGATCTGACAAACGATAAACTGACTCCATAACGCCTCCGCACATGTTCACATTGCAACACGTGGTTCAATCCTCGGTTCATCTGTTGCTCGTCTTTTTTTGCAATTTACGACGTAGTAGTTTTTTTCCTAGCGGACTGTCGACGACTCTGGGTATAACTATTGAGGTCGTTTGTTCAACGGATCCCATGCGTTACAAGTCAACACTGGGTTCTTCTTCCTCATTTGATATGGATGATACATTCGCTAGCGTTTATATGTCTTTAGGCATACCATGAGAAAGAGCGCAGCTTGCTTTACCGTCCAGAAAAAAAATTATTTAAGACAATGTATTCGTGCATTTAAGAGCCAAGTTTTGGTCAGTAAGCGCTGCCCCCTCGCGGTGTTTTGAGCACGCCGAACAGCGCTTTCGCTCGGGCCGGGACCGGGGAAATTGGTCCGGTCGCGTACTGTCGGCTGTTCTCCGCTGACGTGTAGCGTGAGAGCGGCCCCTCACGATCAGCATCCGCACTACTCGCCTCACCTATTCTCTGTTGAGAGAGGTCCCTGACGGTCGCCATCTGCGCCCCTCGTCTCACCTGTTCTCCGTTGATGTACAGGGTAAGAGAGGTCCCTCACGGTCACCATCTGCTCCCCTCGTCTCACCTGTTCTCCAATGGTGTGCAGGGTGAGTGAGGTCCCTCATGGTCACCATCCGCGCCGCTCGTCTCACCTGTTCTCTATTGATGTACCAGGTGAGGGAGGCCCCTCTCGGTCACCATCTGCGTTCCTCGTCTCACCTGTTCTCCGTTGATGTACCAGGTGAGCGAGGCGGCAGGCCGGCTCCTGGCCGATGTACAGTTGATCGACACGGGCTCGCCGATCCTGTACAGGTCCCGTGCGCCCGCTATCTTCGGTCCCTCCGATGGCAGATCTGACGAGCGAAGCATGGCCGTGTGAGAAGGCTGCTATGATCTCCCTGTGAGCGGAGCTGTGTAGCTGACGTCTGCTGCTGTCGGTTGCGATGCATCCAGAGGCCTGACAGCCACCGAAGCGCACGTTTAGTGCGCATGGATCGAAGCTCGCATGTAAGTTGACCTTGATGTCATCGGCATATTGACCATAACCATATTGTAAAGTACTAAGACATGTCCAACTACCAGCCCGCCAGACTGGTGAGCTACTGCGGTCGATGCGCTTGAGGACTCTTCTTGTTGCCGCTCTCTCTGGGCGCGCCTCCTGCGCGCGGCCTGCGAAAGGTTAGGTCGGCGCGCTCGTGAACGTCAGCTGTGATTCAGGGGCGGCGGAAGCGGTGATCAAATGTTCACGAGTGTTAATGTCAGATACTCTCGCATATCATGCACAGACAACGGCCGGTTCCTCCAAGCGACGCTTTAACTAGCGTTGATTGACGGATTTTTCAGTAACATATGCGACCCCAGAGAAGGATATGAACAGGGGAGTGTACGGGAATACGCAACGGAGATTGGAAATACTTCAAAATATTCCCTAAAAACTCAGTTTTGGCACGTCTGCTGCGTGGGCATTTTCTAAAATAGTGTAGATAATAACTCATAGTCTTAATCTGCTTGGTTTTAAATGCCAGTCTAAAATTTTTTATTGTCAATATTTATTAACACGCATATTAATACATGTAATCTATATTAGAAAGCGTGTGTATGGAAGGGCGGACATTTGTCCTGGGTCATTACGTACGTTTGCTCCGGGATATCCACCACTGCCATTTTTGCCAGATATACGTATACACAAATAAAGGATGGCACAATGCCGAGATTCTTAAGGCACTTTTAGTTTTATCAGCTGTTTGCTCTGTTGCAGTTTGTCGGCAAAATTTTGGCTTCTGTGCGGAGCGGAAATAGAGATAGAAGACAACAGTGCTCACTCAACTATTTTTTGTGTCCTATTTGAGTGAAAAGATGACAATGGTCGTAACAGGAAAGACAAGAGATATTCCATCGCAGCCAGGAGGATACGCTGCAATTTTTACACATGTATATCACAAGGTAAGCCTAACAACCTTTTGTAAAATGAAACGATCTTCTGTTCGTGTGCTTACGCTGTACGGTGGAGACAAAAAAGAACGATGAAGACTGCAAAAATAGTACTTCTGTCGTAAAACTGCAATGCACCAGCCATGCATCACAAAAGGCACGGGTAGCAAACGGAAAATATGCTGCATGATGCTGCAGCAAACTCGCTGCGAAACCTCATCACTTTGACCAAGTCGCACTTAACGTAGCCCGCTGTATTACTTAAGTTGCCACACCTGCAAGACTTGAGGGTAAAAGCGTTGTAATACCCCCATAACACAGTGTGAAATGCTGTAAAAACATAGGGCATTGAGCGTACATGCCAGTTCAGTTTATTGCAGACTTACATAGACGCATGGCTCCGTTTATTGCATTCCGCCTTTTGAAATTGGCTGTGTTTAGAAAGCTGGACAAAATCCAGTGAGACTGAAGGAATGTGAGGCTTTCCAAAAGCTTGAAGAAATTGTGAGCATCGTTGAGGGATCGAGTCTTTCGTAATAACTCTTAGAAATGGCATCCTAGCCGATAAGGTAGCGGTTTCATCGCATCAACTTTTCCATCCCACCGTGCCGCGACCAGATTTGCGTGTGACCTAAAGACGGAGGCGCGAACTCGGCCTCTGCCCAGCAGTCCTCGGGCGCGAACTCAGTCCTGCCCAGCAGTCCTCGGGCGCGAACTCAGCCTCTGCCCGGCAGTCCTCGGGCGCGAACGCGGCCTGTGCCCGGCAGTCCTCGGGCGCGAACTCGGCCTGTGCCCGGCAGTCCTCGGGCGCGAACTCGGCCTGTGCCCGGCAGTCCTTGGGCGCGAACTCGGCCCACGCCCGGAAGTCCTCGGGCGGTTTCTGACCTCCGTGACCTGGCAGGGTGGTGCCGGCTGGGGTCTTACTCACTACGTGAACGTTCGGGTGGACCTTTGCCGAATAACGCTTGTGTCATCGGTTTTACGGTGCGTGGTGGCAGCTTGGGCCTACACTCGGCTCGACATGGGAATAAATAAAAACTAATGCTCATGGCTTCAAAATGAACCAATTCAAATACCTTGGATTACAGCAATCCCACTCAGGCCAGTTTTATAACACTGGTTGGGGCTACGCATGCTGCGATCCACGGGATTAGCGGAATCCTGGTATTCTGTCTTTCTGTTAAACGAGAGGTCGTGAGTAGAGAAAGCCATGGCTCGTTTGCGGTCTTATTATGCACCGAGTCTGAAAAATCTGATCTAGCATTACCTCCCTACCTCTCTTTTTTCTTGTTTCGGAATATTTTCCTAATAGATTGTTTCGAATGTACATCAAGGTTTGGTAGCGATTTTGCTTTTATAAAGTCATGCTGCTTACCAAATATCCTGAAATCGCTGTGGACTTGACCAACATGTAGGGCAGCCTGAAGCCCTCCGAGCAAAGGAGAAAAGCCAGAGACAATCGTGAAGGGTCTCTAGAGGATAGAGAGCACCCCGGTAGGTCAACATATAGGGCCCTCGACAGCAGCGTAGAGCATTCCCTTCGGCCCTTTTAGTTCTTCCTGAAATGCGAAGGGCCCGAGACCACCATGGAAGGCTCCTGAACGATCGAGCGGGCACTTGCAAACAAACATATGGCACCACTGGTAGCGGCGTAGGTCTTCAGAGAACGTGATTGACCCTAAAACTTATGCAACCACGACCCTCCCTTTAGCCAAAAGTTCTGCATGCCTGATCGTGGACCCTATTTCCATTTGGGGTCCTTACCTGTCGCCCGGGGCCCGAAAACGTCCAATTTTTGGCGCTTTGCGTTAAAGACCTGCGTCCGTTTGGCCTGTTATGGGCCTATTTCAAGCCCAAGGGGAGGGACATATCGGCCTCCCCCTGGTCCGCCGCTGGTTTCTGCCTCAGACTTCACTCACATTGCCAGCGTCAATACGGAGACGCACTGGGAGAGGTGGCTGTTGCCGCTTCAGGTAGGCAGAGATCTAGACATGTGCACAAAATGCTGTCCACTGCAACCCAAGATTGAAAGACAAAAAAATGGCTAATTCTTAAGAGGTTAACTTCTCGGGCGCACTACCCGATGTATGCCTATAGGCGGTTCGATCCGAATGGCCTGCACGCGCGTTCACGCGAGTGTGCGGGAAGTGCGAGGCGTGCCGTGCGCGCCGCCTCCGCCACGAGGCCTGCTTACCGACGACGCTCATGTACCGCTGTCCGTGGACGGTGACGTAGCTGGGCGCCTCGGTGGCGATCTCGCAGCGGTAGCGCCCCGCCGAGTTCAGAGGCACCGAACGCAGCACCACCGTCGTCATGTTGCTGGCGAACGTCTGCCGACACGAGACCGGCGACGTCGTTCAGGTCGAGGTCACTGACCTCCGGGGAAGGGGTCAACGGCACGGGGGTTTCGTTCGTTCGTTCGTTTATTCGGCGTTGCAGGAAGCAGCAGAGGATCAGGGCCAGACTCGTGGTCAGAGTGTAGCGCCTCTGACGGAACCCGTAACTCCCGCGCTTCGTGCGTGAGACACCGTGTGCTCGGCGTGTTAGCTGTCATACGCGGAAAGCATTGGTTTATTGGGAGTATGATGAGCAGGCCTTCAGTGCTTCGACGCTGTCTTTGTCTATGCGTTCTGTTAAAAAGGATTGCTCGTCAAAAAAATCGGCTTCCGTAAGGGAAGATATACCACGTTCATACATTTAGGGAACGAAAATTCAAGCTTTAAATTTTTACTTTCAACGGTTAATAGATACTTTAAAAAAACGAATAACGTAAAATCGACGAAGCTGGGGGCATCTCAGACCACTCCGCCCGAATATTGTGTGCTGAATGCACAATCAGACACTCCTACAAAATACACAAACATTGCCACTCACGTCAACAAAGATGCCGGGCCGGCTGAAGGTCTGAATGGAGGGACTCTCGCTAGGTGAGAAGCGATAGAACTCCTTGCCGTTTCTGTACCAGTTGACGATGTAGACGCGTTCGCCCCAGGCCAGGTCGAAGAAGCAGGAGAGCATGACCCTGGTGCCGGCCTGAACCGGCGACGGGATCTTCACCTTCGTCATGCGCAGGCAGGCCGAGTCTGCCGAAAAAGGACGCCACGCACGTCAAGCGCTGGTTATAGACTTGTCCTCCGGAAAAGGCGCGGTCACGTCTCTGCTCAAGACGATTGCGGAAGACCTCAAAACCCTGGGCTTCGGCGCTGTCATCAGAAAGTGACAGTTGCAGGTGTGTGCTGCCAGATCGACATCAGTATGAGTCTTGTTGGTGCCCCAGGTCGAAATACGTCAGGTGCGTTGTTAGTCAACGTTCACTCGGTCAGTCAGTTTGAAGCGTGCAGCTCCTTGGTGGTTTATGTGGTTCATCAGAGCAGACAATTGTCGTTTTCCATGCAAGTTTGAACCATCACGTCGATGTCGACGATCGTTTTCTGCTGCATGCAACAACGTTGTTTCGTCGCTTCCCAAACTGGGAACCAAGACGCTATCCTTTTCGATTGGAACGCGGAGGGGCCACGGCGCACTCCCCAAACCTCTTTTCGACGTTAATCCCCAACACGGAGAGCCACGTCATTGTCCACTGCGTTGCGTGCGAACGCACTTCATCGATGTCGCCATCATTCCCTCGTGAGAGAACCGCATGGCCCTCCGAGTCGCCTCCCACGCGGGAGGGCACGGCAGTCCCTTCCGCTCACGACACCCGCACACGAGCGGCCCTGTCGTCACCCCGCCGTTAACGGCACCAGGCCTGATTCCACCGAGCGCCTGTGCCAGCAGCACATTAGCGTGCTTGTGCTGAATTCATTCAGGCCGCGTGATTCGGTCCCACTTATCACTACGATGACTGCCATGGCATTGCTCAGCTTGGCTGCCTGGAGGAGCCCGGGCGCAGGCACGCGCGTAGCGGTGCACAGAAGCAGTAAAGTCAGGGTGTCGCGGCAAACGAGGGGAAAACTGTCGGCGTTTGTGCCAAGCGTTGAGACCTAATGATGTGCCGCTGCTCAATGCTTCACGACTGGTTTGCAAACACTGACGACCTGGCTTTTCTGACTCGGCCGCATACGTTGCAGTCTTCGTGTGGCGCGTTGCATTGCTCAAGCCTAGAACTTAGCGTCTTAATTTGGTGTTGTTTTTGAAAATAGTTAACAAAGGTCATTATTACAGGCGTTCCGGCAGCGGTAATAGGTGATACAATTTTTTAAACGGGGCGTCGCTTGTAGAAAGCACTGGGGGTTGAGCTAAGTGCCCGACAACCTAAATTTCCCACAAATATGTGCCTCTCAGCGAGTTTTCTCCTTTCCACCTTCTCAAGTCCCCGTGCCTAGCTTGTAAATCCTTTCTACCGCACTCCCTCCGTCACCGCGATCTTCCGTCTGCCGCATGATCTTCACCATATGGCACAGCATGAACCTCAATAGCCAAGAGAGCACGTGGACGCAAGTTTCCGTCAGCACAAGGCAAGCTGAAACAAGGATCTGTTTTCTCGCGCGCCCGCACCAAGCCTGTCTCTCCCTCGGGCGTAATCACCACTGGGGTTGGTGAGGTCCAGGGCCTGTTAGCTACGGAAGGTCGGATTGTTTTAATGTTCTAGGCATGTGAAACAGCACGAGAACAGATTGCACGAAAGTACCTTTAGTCAGTGGTTGCATCTCCAATTAAAGGCGCTTCTGTCTTAGTTATCGTCAGCACTCACATCATATATACATATATATATATATATATATATATATATATATATTTGGGGCCACCCTGCCCAGCATCGCGGTCATGCGCTCACCACGTCCCCCTACAAGGTGTCTTTATTAACCAGATCAGCAACAATCCCTCACAACTGACCGCCAATGTCATACTGCCTCTGTCATAGTGATCTCACCACTGACCGCCAATGTCATACTGCCTCTTACGCTTCTCGTTGAGTAGCTGGGGCAAGCTCACTGTCATTCCCGCTCCAACCGCTTTGAGCAGAGCGATCCCCCCCCCCCCCTCCCCCCGGAATGCGGCGCCGCTCCGCCGCCCGCCTTTCGTGACGCTGCGACGCTGTCCCCCGTTATCCCCCGCTGCCGTACCTCGCCAGAGCTATCCACTCCCCCGGAATGCGGCGCCGCTCCGCCGTCCGCCCTTCGTGACGGCGCGACGCTGTCCCCCCGTTATCCCCCGCTGCCGTACCTCATCAGAGCGGCCCTAACGAGCCGTATGGATCTTCCACGGTCGACATCGCTCACCGCATACTGGGGGACCGTCACAGAGACGGACATCCGCTAAATGTCCACGCAAGCGGTGACGTCTGGCTGGCGGAGAGCCCGTTTTAAAGGGTGGGGGAGGGGGTGGGGGGGGGAGGGTGGGGGCAGGATGGCCCGTTGAGTCTAATGCGGTCCGTGACAAAACTTAGCATCAAAGAGCGTCCGCAGCGTTGTCCGCCTTAAGCCACAATCATTTTACGACGCCAAAATATTTGCTCACCAGGAAAGCAAATACCAGATACCATTCAGGGGAGTGGAACCGGGCGGCAGTCACTGCACTCACCGTTGCAGTGGGTAATACGTTCGCCGCGGCGGTCGGAATTTTGACAAATGTTTATGTTTCTCACATGTCTGCGAGGGGTGCATTGCCATGCACAAGTTGCATTTACACCAATCACCAGCGGAAAATTTAGTGATCCTTGCCTTTTTCAGGAATGCACTTCCTTTTTTTGTTTCGGCCTGACCTGATAACCAGTCACTCACTCCACAGGTTCAAGTGACACAACGCAACACATCGAGCCCGACAAGACTTGCCTCGCGCTCGCTCGTTCACATCTTTCTCATCCAAACATACCGCGCCCCGCCAGAGTCTACGAACGCCCCCGGTCACGTGACTCGCGCCCACGACCGGGCCGGACACCACAGCCGCCGCGTTCTTATGCCGACTCTCCGTTCGTGTTAACTAAGTGCAGTTAGGCGCGATTGGCGGGACAGGAAATCGTTGCCGGTGCGCGCCGTGCCAATCGTCCGCGCTCGGTCCGGCTGGCCCGGTCGCTAAACTTGTGTGACAGCGGCGGCAGTCAATATGCACTGGCCGGGCGGACAGGCAGCCGGCGGCAGGTCGTGATTGCTCCGGCCTCGGCAGCCGGCAGCGCCAACTTTCTCACCTGCGCCGGACGGGCGGCCCGGCCGGGCGCGGGCCGTCCGCCCCGAGACGGGCCCTGTCGATCGCAGACGATACGGCCGCGCAGGCAACTTGCTGGCATTGCGAGATTGCGAACATGCTGTTGGGAGTTAGACCCGTGCTCCGGAAGGGTCGCGATTGAGTTCCGAGAAATGTTTGCAGTTGATTCTGAGATGCTGGCAAGATATGCAGTGTTTTAAGCATATATCAGACCTCATTGCCTCTGTCGAATGACGAATCCGTGGGTAAGACCCAACGCTTTTCGTCCATTTGAGTGAGACCCCCACACTGTGTGAGCCTCGTAAGAACCCGTAACCTCGTAAGGTACCCGACATACGCACGTAGGTGCGCTTAATGTGAATAGATATTATTGGTCATGGTAATTCGCATAACGTGACACAAGAAAACAGACACATACCCGGAATATGTGTGTCAATTATCGCTCACAGTCCTATCTACTTCCGTTGGCGATCGCCGCATTGACTGGCCTTGCAGTTTTTCGTTCAGTCCATTCCAGGTTCTCAATACCGTGCATGCCAACCATAAACCTCTCCCAAATCGGTATGCCTTGCACATGGATCACGACCAGACCATGGGCATATGATTTAGGGCACAATGCCGCGTCACGGCATGTGACAATCAAGCTGTAAGAAGCGGCCAATACTACCTTTGCTTAAGTGATAAAACATTCGTAGTTGCATAAGTCAGGGGGTAAGCTGTGAACATAAAGAAAAGAAACATTCCGTGCAGTTGCTTTGCTGGTGCTGGATGACTGATGTTAGTGTTTGCCCCTACCTCTCACCTGACTGCGACTCCTTCCAGAAAGGTGGCTTGTAGCCCGTCCCACTCCGATCAGGCCGTTTTCAACTCGTAAAACCGCGTGATTCTGCTCTGGCTCAATCTGAAAATTTTGCGTGCAGCGCATCGTGTATGATACGTTTTGTCTAGTATGCGGTATACTACGCCTATGTATGACATGTCAATCAAACGGCCGGTATTTCACCAAAATAAATGCCTGGCGAATGACGGGCCCAGTGACGTCAGCCGGGCCAGCCCGAGTCACGAGCCCGCTGAGAAGCCTGCCGCTGGCTCCGTGTGACGCCCGGCGGCATTCTGGCCACCAGGGGGCCGCCCTGTGGACGGCTCGTGCTCATCTCTTCCGCCTGCGGGCTGCGCTTCGGATGCGTCGCGCCTTACGGAGGCCCGCGCGCAACAGCGGAGTACAACTTCTCATCGAAATTTGCGCGTTACATCCTTCCGCCGTCACATCGGACGGGAACTTCGGGAGGTGAGACAGGATCCACGCGTGGGGGACGAGGCATCACCTGGCGCCGCCGTCTGCCTCTGCAAGCCGCACCACCCCGTCAAACAGCTAACTCAGTCAGCGGTCACCGTGACGCCTGATGGAGGGCAGGCGGCGCGGTGACCGGCCGACGGACCGACCGGCGTCACGCGCGCCATCGCAAATGCATCGTCTCACTGTCCGCCCCCAGGTGGGCCGTGCCAGCCTCCTGATCAGGAGTCAGGAGATCAGGAGTCAGGGCGGGTGGGAGCGCACGGTGCGGTGCCGTGTGCGGCCCGTCTGCCACTTACAAAGCCCTCTCCCTGCACTGGCGACGCTGCCGGCGGGAGGCGAGTGGCCCGGGCCCGGACTCAGACCGCAGCAGCCCCGGCCGGCGTCTGCGGGGGCGAACCGGCCTCCCGTTGGTGCCGGCCGGCCCGCGCGTTCCTGGCCGGGGCCATTGACGGCGCTTGGCTGACGGCTGGGGGACCTGGACCCGCATCAGTCCCTTGCTCCCTCCGACCACCAAGCCTGATTGTGACGTCATGCGTCTTATTATAACTTGCCTATCTGCACGCACGTCGGCAATTTCGCAATTTCGCCCTTCACGCACCTCAATCTTCACCGGAATAATTTGGCTATTTCACAACAACGCTGTATAGAAAAATACGCCGTCATTGGAATCCGACTGAGAGATGAAACTCTGCCCATTGCACAGCAGCTACTGATCTTATTTGGGAAACATGGATTAGCTAGATGTCCACCAATGCTCTTCCTCTGGAGATTTGAGATTAGCCTCCATTTTTAAGCTGACCATACATTGTAATTTTCTTTCATGTAAATGTAATATTTTCAAACGCTGCCAGCCAGCTATTGTGAAATACTGCAAATAGACTTCCGGGTCAGGTCAGGCTAAACATGCAGGCCTATCGGATCCGAGAGCTGTGTTTCTAATCTTGACCCACTAAAGGCGCTACATCGCAATGACCCAGGATATTAAACATGCGCTGAAGGATAGATGGCCTGCATGGATCAGGCCATTGCTTTTATCTGAAGACAGATAAAGAAGTGCCACAGCTACCATGTGAACGCGAAAGGGGCGGCTGGCTACTTCGCGCCATCACAATCTGGGATCGTTAGGACTTTTTAAGACGGATTTTTTTAGACACAGTTTGTTAACAGGAAAATTGCATCGTCATTATTACTGGCAACGCAATCATAGAAATCTGCGAGACAAATTCATGTGTTTACACGCAACGCGAGATGTCAAAACACTAAGCGTCGTCAGCAGGTGCAGTTGCTTTGAGCTAGGCCCAGCACTTCATAGTTCCATGATGACTCGAAAGAGTGCATTTCCGCGGGCGTCGGCGTTGCGTCTGGCATGTGATAGCCAAACTAATGAAACACGAGGCAGAGAACAATGCAATTACCGACTTCGGCAACCACCCCAGTTGGAAGTTGTTACGACGATATTTGATCATTGGTCGCGTGTGTGTTCGTGATCGTGCTCATGGTCTTACGTCAGCTTGTGCATTTGAATTGAGAATGAGTAGTTCTGAATGAAAACAAAGCATCGCATCAATTTGATAAAGTATCGCAACAAAGCATCACACCATGAAGCACTGCAACATGGTTACGAGTACCGGGGAAGTCATAGTCCATGCAGGTGTGACAACGCAACGTTGCGGCGCGCTGGCCATGACAGTGATGTAAGCCGGTCAAACCAAGCGTCGGCGCATGGCAAGCGTGCGGTCACCGGCCGCGCATCGCCTTTTGGCAAGGACATGCTCACCAGCGAAACATGGCAAATAGGCAGCACAGTGGCCGGGTATGTACCCGAGTACAGCACAGCGTGGTAAACACGGTAGTAAATCTGGTACGGTAGACGTAGAATGATCCGGAAGTCAATCCGGTGAAGTAAGTCCGGGCACGCGCGTTAAGAGATACAGACAAACGACACAATGGTCAGGCACAGCGCGACGGCCAGATACAACAGCTTGGCAGGATAAAGCCCAGTGATGGGTCACGCGGGCATAGTTTAGGTTCAAACAAATCTAGGAAGTAAAGAACAACCGGTGATAGCGTACAGCACAGCGGGCGCAAGCACTGAAGCGACCCGACGTGCCCCAGTGTCCAGGGCACAGAACGGCAGTGGAGCACGGTACAGGCGCAAGACAATGCCCATTGACTGCACATGTTGTGACAATGACTTGCAATGCACTGACAACACGGCTCGGACACGGCCCTAGAACACTGCGGCGGCCGAAGAGAGGTCAGGCACGCCTCAGAGGAAAGACACAGCCCAGACACGCACATCAGCGGTCAGACACAATCCATTGAGCGGACGCGTCCCACGCACAGCTCAGTGCGTGGACGCGGCGTAGGCACAGCTTAGTAACCGAAGGCGGCCCCACGCCGCGCGCTGGCCAGAGCCCGCGGGGCCGGCCAGGACCGCGGCTCACCTCTGACCGGCGCCAGCAGCAGCAGCGCCAGCAGCAGCGCGTCGCCGACCATGTCCCACCTGCACACCTGGCGCCGCGGCCGTCGCCCGCGCGTCCAGCGCCGCCGGCCGTCGCAGACTGCCGACGGTCGGCGTCGGCGACGCTCGGCGGCACGCGACGGCGCGCGGGGGCGGGGGGGGGGCTGGTTTTGTTGACGTCGCTGGAATGCAGCTCATCGACCCTATCAGTGGAGTGATAAGAGTTGACGGGCGCCGTTCGGCTGGCGTCGGGGGCAGGCCGGACGGGCGACAGCGGTCAGGCTGGGTGGCCCGCCTGTCGAAGAGTCGGGCCCATTGCCATGTTGCAGGCGGACGTCGATGCCGATGTCTGCCGTTGATCGGTGTTAGCACGTCATCGGTCTGTGTTGCAGGTGCTTAAAAGAAGGAAATAGGGGTCACCAGTCTGGAATGGTAATAGGGTATTTTGATGATGTCTGCCATTGATGCCTGCCGATAGACGTAAGCTCCCTGTTATTTGAGTTTCCCGTGAGTGAAATATCAGGGAGACCAGTGGCGATTGCCATATTCATCCTCTACCTACAAGGAAGTAATGAACCCGGCCTGGGTATTTGTAAAAGCACCTTAGATACTGTCCCAACCTTGGCCGCATAATGGCGGGGCTGACATACAAGCACGAGCCGTGATGCCAGCCCGACTTGGTTTGTTTGGCCAGTGGGCTGCGGTCGCGGTGGTGGCTGGGACGGCTCTGTCTCACTAATCCCGTGTCTCACTAATGCGAACACAGGCCACACACGGGCCGGTGTGAGCTTGGGCAAACCAAACAAGCACCAAAACACCACATGCAAATTATTGTTCAAATGTGTGACCGTTCTGTATGTTTAAAGTTGGCAGCTACGGTCGCTGTGTGCATTTCACTGCTCAAGATTTTAGTCGCGTTTTGTTGTGTTTTTATATCCCGTGGCTGTAAGACGTAGTTCAGCTACAGTGAATTATTAAAACGTTTGGGCCGTCGCGTTTCATCATGGGTTATGTGCTATTCCTGGCGAAAGCCGCTACTGTTATTAGACCACGCTGTAGGAACTTCCACATGATAAAGTGCATTCAGATGCGACGGAGACGTCCCTCATATTGTTGCCTCGCCGACTTTGAGCAGACGCTAATTAACCCGTGCCAGAATTTCTCTGCAAAAGCTTTTGTTTGCATACGGGCGATGAGGCTGGTACATAAGTCAGGTCACGTGCTTTCATTGTAATGTCTAAGTGACTCGGAAGTGGCGCAGTCTGCCTGGTTATTGGTGCCGTATAGATGTACGCGACAAGATTTAAATGGTTTTGCCCTGGGTTCAGTTCGTGTGTTTTACTGTACACAACGCTCCCTTCAACTTTGACATGCCGACGGATTTAGACATATTCCTCTGTTCTGATCAACTTAAGACTTGTCCTCGTATTTTGGCTGTTTTAAAGGTTCCTGAAAAATCCGGGCAGCCACCAAATACAGGCATCATCATCCTGTTACTTATTTTCATATAGAGACGTGTCACCAATACGAATGCTGCACCTGTGTCAATGAATGCATACGTTGTCCAAAAAACGTGCTTCATCGCTGAAAAAATATAGTTTCTTTCAGTGATGGAGCACGTTTTTTGGACAACGCAGGACGATAACGCGGGACGATGTCCATAACATATAGTTGTTTATGAACATCAAAATTATACGCTCATTTATTGAATATTTAGGTTCATATTTAATTACAGCCACGAATCCTTGGTACTTTAATCCACAAGTACGCTCAAAGAGATACAATCGTCAAAAATGGACTCATAAATCGCACCGACAACGAAAGGATTAAGCCTACGTAGATGAATTGGTGTTATCATACGCTTTGAATACAGTGGCCATTTCGCGCCCACACACCCGCTCCACAGATGTGAAACCTCTGTTGTTGTTTTTCTTTTGTCACTCAGCAGCGTTCTTGCCTTCTTTTTATGTCACACAAAAAGCATGAAGCCTCTGGTTTCTGGCACACATGCATCTTTATTGACATGTGAAGTGCAGTGAGTTCGCCGTCAGACCGGCGTGGCTGACGACGTGGAGCTGCACCCCCGGACCACTTTGGAAGATCTCGTCGATGACGTTAATCCGCTGCTCAGCAGGTGTCTGTTGGTGACGCTGAGGCGCCAGCTGGGCATGCAGCGCTGCCAGCCCACCACGCCTTAGTTTTTAGGAGCGCTCTGCGTTCAGTGTACGTTCCTGACTTGACCGCAGCGATTTTAACCGCGGTGAATCAGTCAATCTTGACCGTGATGAGTTGGCCACCGATTTTGGGTGGCCGGTTATCACGATGAAAAAACACAACTTCTAGTTGCCGATTGTACCTGCCTATTCTCCATACCGAGCATGGGGTCCCCCTCAGTGGGTGCGTGGAGGCGAATCCACAATTTTTTACAGAACATAACATCATGGCTGTCGCGTTCCATGCGAAGGAACTCTTAAAAAACCTGGCCGATCACCAGCACTTTTGTCCCGTGCTGAGGCTACTGGAGCAGCAGCTGAGTCACCAGAAGTAGCTGTCCTACCAAAGCTTGAATCGAAGCTTTTGCAATGTAACGCTAGACAGTGCTGCTTCGGCCTGTGTTTACGAATGGCAGCGTGCCGGACCGTTGCTGGGACGCGCACCCAGGGTGCGGACCCAGGCGGCCTCGGACACACACACCCGCACATCTGCCATGGAGCCTGCGGCCAGCTGCAAGGGAGGCAAGAGGATTGGGCGCCGGAGGGGGGGCGGTCAGAGTCTCAGTTTGGCACAGCGGCGCCGTCACGGGCAGGCCCGCGCCGGTCGGCGCTGGAGACAGAGGAGGGCGGAGACTAACCTCGTGCCCACGCCAGTCACATCACTCAGCTGCCCAGAAAGTAGGCTAACAGAAGGGCTGTCCATCCGACGGGATAGTGGCGACCATTACGACAGACGGAACAGGTGCTGGCCGTCACAGGTGATGTCTGGACATCTCCGCCGAGATTAGCCGGCTGGTCACCTGGTGCGTAGCATAGCAGCTCCGTGCTTTGCTCCGCACGTGTGATATCCAGCACAGATTAGACGCTTTTTTTTCCATGTGGAAGCAATTCATCTGGTTCTGGGACACACGATAGGGCAGGGTTTCATGGAATTATGATAGCAATGGCAATGCAATTACAATACCAGCGTGTAATTGTCACGGATCGTGCGTGCACACCGCGCCAGAACGCCACACGTTACCGTTGGTCCATCCTCAGGGAATGCCATCACAACCGACGCCGGCGGCGCGGGTGGTCTGGTCTACACAATTAGCTTAGCCGTTCTCCCTCATTTCTTCTTTCTGAACACTGGTTGCGGGGCTCTGACAAAAACAGGAAGCATTATTTAATTAAAGAACTAACTTCTCATACTGCGACGCCGCCGAAGCCATCCCACCAACTTGGCATTGATGAAGGCACGGTCCCAAGGCTTCCCGACCAGCGATTAAAGCAAGCGACATTATAACCGGTGAAGCCAACAAGCATAGCAATCACGGATACGTCGGCCCGCAGCAGCAGATTGAACGCACAAATAATGCGTCATTTGCAGCGCTCGGATGTTTCTACAGCAACTGGACTATGTTGGGCGATATGCGCGGTTGGCGACGGCTGCAGCTGGTGACTGAACGCAACATAATGCGTCATTTGCAGCGTTCGGATGTTTCTACAGCAACTGGACTATGTTGGGCAATATGCGTAGTTGGCGACGGCTCCAGCTGGTGACTGAACGCAAAATAACGCGTCATTTGCAACGCTCGGATGTTTCTACAGCAACTGGACTATGTTGGGCAATATGCGTGGTTGGCGACGGGCAAAATGTCGGCGTGACAGGTCACACCCTCGTTCGCCGTTGCGTTCCTCGCGGAACGATACGGCAGCCGCAAAAAAGAAGCCTGGCGTTGCGTGCATCTTGGAAAAACTGAGTCAGCCATTATGCATGTGTTCGAGCTTTTCATAAGAACACATATGCAGTCACACCACCCTCAGGACAAAGTCTGCTGTATTTGCGCCGAGGCGACCTATATTTGCGGACAAGTCCTGAAACGGCAGCTGTGACATTCGCTTTCTCCTCCGACAGCAGAAATAACGTGTGACCCGATCTGTCGTGACGCGGAGAACTGACCCCAGCGCCAGGCCGTGCGTTCCGGTATTCCGATTTTAAAATAGAAATCAATTATCACATGTTTCGAGCCGCTGGCCGTTCCGGCAACGCGACGATGGCAAAGACTGCCACCATCGCTCCCAGCTGCCAGGACATTGCAGATCCTCAGAAGCCAGAATTCAGTCATCGGCCGAAGGTTCTTCGTGCCTGTTGAGTGGGCTGCTGTCACTGCAGCGCTGCCAGTGCACCATCCTGTTGCGCGTGCAACCAACGATGGGCCGTTCTGGACGTCACACGGCGAGACGTGTGAGACAGTGGGCCGTTTTAGCCATCACATGGCGTGTGAGACAATGGGCCGTTCTGGCCGTCACACGGCGAGACGTGTGAGACAATGGGCCGGACAATGCCATATAAGACGATTGGCTGGATGAAGGGGCACCTCCCCTCTGGAGAGGGACAGTCGGGCCGGCTCCGTTCCCTCCCCTGTCTGGGGGGGGGGGGAGGGCTGGGGCTCCGTCATCGGCCGACAAGGCCCGCCTCTGCGGCGATACACGGCGATAACAAGACGGATGCGGTGATTGATGGTCGAGGCATGCCCGCGCACGCCGACTGAAAGCCGAGGAATCGAGAGAAGCCGCGGCGGAATATCGCCTCCTGATCAGGGCCGGGCCGGCTCAGTTTGGGCCGCCCAGAGCCGGCACGCGCTGGTATCCAAATCGGAAGCTGAGCTGTGGATGTCGCTGGCATGTTTTTTTCGGCTTTTGTGTGGCCATGCATGCATTGGCCTTTGGGGTGTTGCGACTTATTAGATAGCTGGGCCCCTTTTCCTGGCAGGCAGGGCCGCCACCACGGGGAGTCGAACCCGTATCTCTA